GGCCCCAAGCCAAATAATAACCCCACACCACATGAATACACATATACCTCCACATTAGTATTTGGGTACATTATGTCACATTATGCCTTAAAGTGTCATCAAAAAAATTTAGGGCAAGAGCAATTACATTAGGTGAACGTACATAAATAAGAAAAGACAAAACACATGTACAATACAGAAACTATAATCAGATATTTGCACTAGACATTTTTGAGACATTCCCATTTCTATTTTTTTAATGTTTTATTTTTCCAAAAAATGAAAGGTACCTTAAGATGGCTTAAAGCACCTTTCATTTTACAAGGTACCTTATAGGGTTGGTTGGCATGCAATGGGTTTGGTTTGCAAAACTGTAACCGAACCCCAAGCCAACCAATAACACCACACCAAATGAATACACATATATCTCTACATTAGTATTTGGGTACATGACGCCTTAAAGTTTCAAAAAAAACTAGGACAAGAGCAATTACATTAGGTGAACATACATAAATAAAACAAAAAGCCACATGTACAATACTGAAACTGTAATATGTTTTTTTTGCCACATATACCACCACTGATTATTGATTGGATACATATATATATATACATACTGTGTACATATATATTTATACTATTTATTTGTTCAATATGGTTTTTGCTATTCATTCTTTATATATATATATGTTTTATTTTTCGATTTATGTTTTTGTTTATCTTGTTAATGTTTTTGAACACGAACCATTTCTTAAAGTCGCAGCATATCTTTAAGTATTGTTTTCCATTATTGCATGCATAGGACAAATATTCATTTCACAAAAACATATTACCATCCAAAAATAAGAAAATCTCATGCAACACCTTTTGTGAATGATAAATAGCACAGTGGTTGGTTGATACATGCACGAGGTCTTTAGTATTTGGGGTACTTTTTTGGTGAAAGGTTGGAAATTATGTCAAGTGTACAAGTGCACGTACCATCTATGTAGCACAGTGGTGCTCATGATTGAAGTTACTTGTCACTTGTCGCCCCTGTTGGTAACCTCATGAAGGGGCCTGTCCACCTGATGCTATGCTTGCTTTTGCCTCCACCTGAACCAGCACCAGAATCTGTAGAACAGGCTTCTCCAGAAGAAGCTGCCCCTTAAGCTGACTTAGATTCTTAGATACTGCAGCACCAAAGGCAAAGGCCAAAGCCAAGGTGAAAGCAAAATCTAAAGTCAAGGCAAAGGCAGCAGGTAAAGCCAAGGCTGCTGCCAGCAAAGCTCCTGGGGTTACTTCTTCGCCAATGAAAGCTCAAAAGGCAAAAGCCAAGAGCACAATGAAGAAAATCCTGAAAAGACCTGATGCAGCTGAAGGCGAAAGCCAAGGCCAAAGCGAAGACTGCCAAGGAGATGGCAGCAGGATGGAAGAAGACCAGGGATGAGCCAGTTCCTGATGACCATGCAGAAGGAGAAGATGAGGAGCCTAAAGAGGAGGATGCAACAGTTGCTGATGATGAGCATCGAAGCTACCCCAAGGTAAGGAAATGCGCCAGAATGATCAAAAGTGGTCAGGTGCCAGAAGATCTTCAGCAGCTCTATGAAGAGGGCTCCAAGAATTCTCCTCCCCCAAGGTTATTTAAGAGTCAATTCATCAACAAAGTCTTTCAGCAGAACACCAGTGGCGAGTTTGCTTTTGCTCCTGGAAATACCCAGTGCGAGGTTTTCAAGAAGAACTTTGAGATTTGCACCAACAAATCTCAGGTTACTGGGTTGCCTCACTCCATCATGTCGTGGAAAAAATCCAGTGAAACCAGCAAGCTTTGAATGAGCAGAAAGACGAGGTGATGTCTATCAGAAAGATGGTTACTATCATGTCAGGACAATAGCCACAGCCATTGAGAAGAAGCAGGGCAGTTCCATGGTCTTGCATGGTGGCCGAGCCAACATCACCAAGGATGAGTTATTCGCAGATGAGTCAATTCATGTCGAGCAGGCCCTGGAGCCAGCTTGGCACTGGAGCTAGTTGTGGTGGTAGTGGTGGTTGTGGTAGTGGTAGCAGTGCTTCCTCTACACCAGCTGTGGTTACTTCATCCTCAGCATTGCCAAAAGCGATTTGTGATGCTCCTGTGAAACTGAGCAGGGCAAGTGCTCCCAGGAGCGACTGGGCAGAGATTGTCAAAGACCGGCTGTCAAATCTTTTTTTGACAAGAAAGACCAAAAACTCAATTATACTTTGATGGATGTCCTCACCAAGCTTTCAAAGACAGAATGTATGCTTGGGGTTACTTCATTGTAGCTTTGATGTTGTATAACATATCTTCAAAACATCCAATCAGATTTGATCTTCACAAATAAAAACTTTGATTTGCTCAAACAAGTATAAGTTCAAACAATATAGTTTTTTTGCACTTCCAGTAATCATGTAGAACTGACTTCACACAAAATCAAGAAACATATTGTTAAAAAACCTTTCAAACAATTGATAATATTCACTTTACTATGGTACAATGTTAAGAAAATGTCAAAATTCATTATCTTTTTTCCATGAAAAAAAGGCAAAATTTCAAGGTATTTTTTTTTAAATCCTCAAAAATTACCTTGATAGGAACCTTTAAAAATTAACTATGTAGTTAAAAAATTAACTATTTTGTTTTCCTTAAAAATTACCTGTTAGGTAGAAAATTGCCTCCAAAATCACTTTTACCTATTTTGCTCCAAATAACCTTGCCTGACCTATTGGGCATGTCTAGCGCACATCGTCTGAGTTCGAAGCGAATGATCCGTAGATAGGATCTGCAATGCAGTCTTCTCTGAGCCATATAACAGAAACTATAGAATCATTCGCCCAACTTCCAGTCACATGTCCAGAATTGTTTGGGAATCTCTAAGGAGCTCCTGCGTTCCCCGTGGAAAATAGGGAAAAGTGGATCCAAGCACAGCTCAGTGTCCATCAGGATGCTGTTGAGGGGGGAAATCAGTGAAAAAACAATTTGACTTGGGAACAATGCTAAACACCAATTAATTCTCGGTAGCCCCAAAAAGATAGAAAGCCAAAATCCCACTAGAACAGTGATGAAATGCTGTTCTATCTTCTTGGGGATTACTATTTTGTCAGGATGTTGATCCTGTGCTTCTAAGTTGATACTGTCCGTGCACCGTGCACTGTCCGCGTTTTTCTGTGGCATCTACATTCCTCCTCAACTTTTTTAGTATGGGATCCTTGGTAGCAGTTTTTTTTCATGGTGAGCCATCACCATAAACCATCTCAAAAAAGGAAGATGTCCAAGCAAACCAAATGACCATATCAAGATCCAATGTATACATCGGGTTAAAAAAAAAAAGAACTCATACTCAACCCACTCAACCCACTACCCATGCAATCTACAACGAAAATAGAACCTCTAGGATTGGGATGTATTTTCTGCAGGGATGTGTGATGTTGTACACAAAAATTGGATATATATATATATATATATAATATATATATATATATATTAGAGAGAGAGAGATTATCTATACGTAATATAATTGGCTTATTGTGTATGTTGGTACAGAAAACGCCCATACGTTCAGTCTATTCGTGGCCCGTCCCTACTAAAGTAACATGCCAGCAGCGCCCAGTAGACCCTGATGAGCACCAGGAGGCGAAACCTTCGATTTGCTTTGAAGCTTCCTTCAGCTTTTTAAATTCAGCACTAAGTAAGGTCATGTTGCTATCTGGTTCTTTCAAACAGCTTCATTGTTGAACTGAGTCAATCTATTCATTGAATCATTCATGAAAGCAAGACCAATAGCGTGAAACTCAGCATCAACTCAATCAATTCAGGTGTTGCTTACCACACCTCGGAGACTCGAAAGGACCTGCAAGCAGACCAGAGATGGGTCTCAGAAACTGGGACATAATGGTGGTTTAATGGTGGTTTAATGGTGGTTTAATAACTTATAATTGGGATACCATGGGTTTGTTGTGGATTATTCTGGTATATAATTGATATAATCAAGAAAAAAATGGGAGGTATGATTGAGGTGTGTTGGGGGTCTAATGAGATGTAAACCGACCAAAAATGGTGGTATCATGACGTTGTCCGAAAATGGCATAATGGCTATATCATGGTATATACATATATATCATTAATATCATGAGAATAGAAACCAACAAAAGATGTGGATAAGAAGCAATCGTTCTGCTGCTTGGTTGTTTGTTGAGCCACCAGTCACCAAAATAGATGTAAATCACGATCATAATCCCAGGTAGCATGGGAAATGCATTGAAATGCAAAGTGCTTCAGCTTTGGGCTCCTGCGATTTTGAAGGCGCGTTGAAGGTCGACTGCTGTAAAGCAAACTTTGGCCAACAGCAAGCTTTATTTAAAGCTGACTGAAATTTGACATTTCATGAAGAAATTTATGTGTTTCCAGTGCAAAATGTCATGAGGTCCGCAAAGATTGGAGTCCAGGGTTTCCATTCCCATCTTTATAGAAACATCTGAAATACCGACCCGCAAGAACCTTCAGACCAAGAAAAAAATTGCAGGGGCCCACGCCTGAATAGGGGAGATCTAGGCCTACAATATCAGGCCACCAGGCAGTCTGAATATCAGCAGCCACCCACTGAGGTCTTTTTCGCTCCATCTTCGCTGGATTTAAGCGATTTGCGCCACACTTCAGCGCGATGTTTTTCTACATCGAATGGCCAGCATGTCATCTCTGGGCATTTCAAATCAGGAGTGTCCAAATCTTGCTGTGCCAACAACCAACAAATAGTTATAGTTATATTGGTAATCTATATATATATATGTGTGTGTGTGTTGGTTCGTATATGTGCGAAGTCTTGCTTGCAGAGGTGTCAACTGTGATTTCAATAATACATTGACAATTGCATTAAAGACTATCGAAGTTGCACAGTGAGATTGTCTCTGAAAGCAGCTTCCACCAACAACCACCGAGACTGTCAACCATGACCAGCCCTGCTGAGCCATCCACCGAGTCATTTTTGAAGACATGCCAGCCAGAGATTTGTTGGCAAAGCTGAAAT